GTCCAGAATTTCGTTTACCTGAAAGCTTGACAAGTTTAATTCCCGAACTCAAACCACTGTATTTGGGCGGCAACGTACTTGTGCCACGACAAATTGCATCACGCATGTCAAAGATTCTAGAAGCGTTTCCAAAAATCGGAGAAGTGAAAATGTAGCAAAGCCAACTGAATAAACAATGCTTCAACTCTGCTTGTTTTTTTGTTCAGATCAGGATCTGAATCTGGTTCTTTTTTTCTGCCGGATTACTTGTCTCTCCAGTGCATTTTTGGGTTCTTCACTTACATTCGATTCTTCTTCTTTTTCAGAGTGAATCTCCTCCCTTCATTTTAATACTCACTGAATTCCGCCCAAAGTCGATGCTTTTTATGCCTCTTGAACATCACTGCATTAAACAGTAAAGATATATATAATAGGATGCATAACGGAATTCGGAAAATAGGCTAGCAATTAGTGGCCAAAATCTCAGATTTTTAGCACAAAAATTAGGAACCTGTAGAACTACACGCTCATGCCAAGCAGCATGCTACTAAAATCACTAATATGGGATACTCGCTCTGATAGTCCGAGCGATTTTGGTATTTTTAGTATTTTTTATGTCATACTTTTGGTTATGAAGAATGCAGCAGAAGATTAATGCATAAAACTACAGTGAAGAAAAGGAAGAACCACAACGCTAAACTGATAAAAACACTGACGATGTCTGTCAAAAAATGAACGAAAAATTCCCAGATAAATCAATCTACATAATTTTAAAAAGACTAAATCTGATTGATATGCTTCGAGATACAAATGACTGAGGTTCGTATGAGCATTGCGAATACTGTAAAGTGAAGATGAAAACCCAGGCTGGAACGCACCGGGCGGGCCCGTGCGATCATGCGTTTTTGCACCGGACTTGAAGTACTCAGGTCATTAACTGCATGAATGGCTTTGCTTTACACCTACCTGCTGTGGTCACTAGCATAAATCACCATAAATCTTGCAAAGTGATGTATAATTTCCATTTAACAGTCGTTCTTTAAAAGTAATCTAATTGTTCAGTAAGAAATTTTTTCGCCAAGATTTTTAAGTGCCCGTACGTAGGAACTACATATACCCCAAGCTGAATTTGAAATAATTAAACTGTACTTGGACTGGGAACATTCTCCCAGAATTTCAGCTTTCCAGCTTTTCTGATTACCGAG